TATATATATATATATATATATATATGATAAAATGTAGGCTTTTGTTAAAGGTTAAATCTTTACATATTATCCAAGAACATAAAGCAAGCTTGTTATAATTCCATATTGAAAGAATAGCTAGCAACAACTACAACATGCTTTGTAAAAGGCAACCAAAAGGATGCCCATTGCTCAACTAACAATATAAAGATATAATGACCATCGAATCTCCCTTTATATATATATATATATAATAAGACACCATATGATTTTGATGAAAAGACATGCATTGATTTCTTTATGGCATCAATGGTGGTTTGGTAAAAGCATGAGACTTCTACACAATTTCAGCTTTTAAATCGTCTAATTGCATTAAGATTTAGGAAGATTTACATATGCATACAAGTCGATTTTAATGCAATTATATATTTAGCACCTATACATTAAGTTTTAAGTGCACATATCCCATCTCACTTTTGCATGAAAATTTGTATCTTTTTACATTTTAAAAGTTAAAATGATGGTGTATTTTTTTTTTTTTGTGATTTGAAATTTTTGTGTGGTATAATTGTAAAAAATAATGTTTTGTTGTTGGATATGTAAATACATAGGAATTGGATGGTAAGTATGCAAATGCCCTTATGATTTATATGGTGTGACGGATCAATTTCAATTAGGGGTGTAATCGAGTCGAATCGAGCTCGAGCCACCCTTAGCTTGATGTTAGGTTTGTGCTTGATTAATTAATCAAGTTCGTGCATTAGCCCGAGATAAAGCCTAATAGTTTGAGCCGGCTTATTTGAAGTTAAAAAATAGAGAAAATAATATTAATTTATGATAATGTTATAAGAAAAATAATAAATAGATTGAACAGTTAGAAGATAAATAATAAGAAATTAATTAGTATATAACATAAAATATTATTTTTAAAATATTTTTAATGATTAAAGATAAAATTTTTAAATTTAATATATTTTAACTAAATTTTATATTCTTATTTTCTTAAATGAGCCTGCTCACAAATAAGTCGAGTCAAAGCTGACTTGAGATTGGCTTATGAGCCCATCGAGCTCAACTCACGAACTACTTATTGAGCAGAGCCCGACCCAGCTCACGAGTGTAAATGCGCAGCTAGTTTTGGCTTGGAATACTCTGAAATAAAAATAGGTTGATGATAACAATATAATAATAAACTCAGCACAATTCATAAAGTCATGTGTTATTTTTGCCCACGTAAGAATCTGCGCGGTAGACTATTGAGTTATGCAAACCAGCCATGCATGCATTAACTGCGGTGTGTTTTGAAATCGCAGAAACCGGCTGCAGCACTGTATTTTGCCTTTATAGACTGTTGAGTTATGCTAAAAGATTCACTGTGGTAGAGTAATGAGTTATCATCTTAACGTTGCACGAGAATTTAACACACTCAGATGAAAAAAAATAATTGATAATGACACAAGAACTCTTTACGTGGAAAACCCAGAAAGCGAAAATCCATGGGGTCTGACACAGGTGAATAGTTTCACTATAGAAAAATGATTACTGTCGCAATCACTTGTCCCACTGATGGGAAGTGGTTACTAGGCTTCCCAAGTTACAACATCGAAGTGCTGATGAATTTGTTATTGGGAACGGACGACGATCGATAGCTATGGGCGGAGTTTGATCGATGGTGGTCGACAGTGGTGGGCAGTAATTGATGACGTTTGACGGTGGTGGACGAAGATTGACGATGGTTGATAGAGATTGATGGTGATTGACGTGGTTGACGGTGGTGGATTGTGATTGGTGATGATCAACAATGGCCGGTAGTGGTCGGCGGAGATCAGTGGTGGTTGATGACGATCCGAAAGTTGACGACAGTCGGCGATGGTCAACAAAGGTCAGTGGTGGCCGATGACAGTCGGCGGTGGTGGTGCTGGATTTCAACTCCTTCTAGAAGCTTCAAGTTCTTCCTCAAATTTCAAGCTCTCCTCCTCCTCGTGAGAGGGATAGGGCTCTATTTGTAGAACTCCGAGTAAAATTAATGCAAGAATATAAACTACTTTGATCAGACAGTCTGGAAAGCTTCATTTGATCAGATGACGTTTGATGGACATTTGAGTGCTTTAAAAACGTCGGAATTAAGCGATATTGGGCTCGTTGGATTCTTTCTGTTGAGACACTCAATTCGATTAAAAACTTGTCAGATTCAACATTCATTTGGCCTTCCAAATATGCTCAAAAAGCTTCTAAAAGTGGCATAATGGCTTGGTATGAACTTAAGCTAGCTCGGATTGGATTGATTTTGGTATCATTGAGTTCGCCTTGTAGAGCTTGTCATTTTGACTCAATTTTTTTTTGAAATCTGAGCTCTGGATGGCTTTTGATTAAAGTTTGAATGTTTTTTACTCCAAGATTGTTTGACATCCGTGTCATGCCGTAAGATTTGTTTTGGATGATGGATTTGTTG